GCCATAGTCCAAAACCCATCACTACACTGAACTTTAGGCAGTAGACAGGGAAAAATAGGTCTATTTCACATTTTAAGAGGTCTCTAGAAACAAATGGCACACTGGTAAAATGGAAGAGAGGGAAAATATGCACATCCAAAACAATGGTAAAATGTCTACAGTAATATAACGCAATAACAGAGATATGTTACTTCCCAAAAATGTACTTACTCAGAATACATTTTGCTACCTGGTGCTAACAGGGCAATGCTACCAAGCTAAACCTCGGCTGAATTATCAAAAGTTTACACGGGTGCCTTCTGGCTCCACACTGACCTCTAGTGGCTGCAATGGGAAAAGCACTAAGAGCGTTCCAGTGAGTTTTGGATAACTAACATGTGAATTTGAAATCCTTGAGTGCAATGACTACAATTAAAGGATCAGTGTGTGTGAGATCAAAGTTGGGGTTGTTCTAATACAAGCGCCTGCCTATCTGTCCTGCTAACCAAAACAAAGGAACATGTTTATTTGGGCTGGAAGTAAATCACAGTCCATGGCTGATTAATCAAGGGCCGACCCTGAGCTAGTCGCCTTCATAATAAAGGAGTTAGTTTTAATGGCGCAATGGATTTTAAATGAGACTGGTGGTATCCACTGGACAGGACGACAACTGGCTTTCTGGGGGCCTACAATCTCCTGTGCTGACCTTGTCTGAGGACTCACCGCTAATACTATGAAAACAGAAGCTAATCTCTTACACCAACATATGTGGCTTCCAGCTCAATGCATTTATCATCATAATAATAGGCTTTCATGAGGTCCTAGCATGCTAACAGCACCCTGAACTAGCTCGGCCTGATAAATGAAGTACTACTGCAGACCAAAACAGACCGTTAAAGATATGAAAGAATGTGGTTGTTCGCAATCACACGATTCCTCCATTTATTTCTCTTTGTCATTGAACTAAATATGTTCCAGGTTCAACTGACAAGTGAGCTAAAATTACATGAATAAAAAGCAAACACAAGGTCCTTCAGCTCACTGAGTCCAATAATGGCCATGTTTCAAGAGCGTACTTGTTTGGTCAGATATTTCTCAGGTTCAGTACAAGGATAATGTGTAACCCACCAGTCCAAGTAATGAACAAGGCAAAAATCGAGAGCAAATCCTATGTTTCTCATAGTTCTTTGCAACATTTAAACTGGACTAAAAACAAAACAAAACAAATTTTGGACATGCAAAAAAGCCTGGTTTTTGCTGCCGGAACACACTTTGTCTTGTTGCTACTGCCGAAACAACACTTTATTTCGCACCATACTTGTACTGTATGGCTGGAATGACAAAAAACTAAGCTTGAACTTGTATTTGATATAAATGACTGTGACGAACCAACCAAGAACTACAGCTGCGGTGGAGCCTTGGTTGCAGTATTTCAGGAAAGATATCAGAGAAATATTCTAATCACTTTTTATGAGGTTAAGCACAGATTTAAACAATGAAACCTGGGGTAAGAACACAACAGATAAGTCACATCACACAGCAGTGATATATTTACTACCTGCATGCAGCTTTGATCTAGCAATACACCGATATAAAACAGAAACACCACTCTTAGATGAATTTTTAACTTGGATAGTAAAAAAGAAATATACATAATTACCATTCTGTACAGGGTCTGTAAGAGATTTTTCTGCAGCCATTACTTCAGTCACATGATCCGGTAACACTTTAGTATAGGGACCAATTCTCACTATTAACTAGTTGCTTATTAGCATGCATATTACTACCGTATTGGCTATTTATACTTATAAAGCACATATTCTGCATGACCATATTCTCCATCCCTAATCCTACCCAATACCTAAACTTAACATTTACCCTACTAAGCAGTAATTAGGAGTTTATTGAGGCAAAAGACATAGTTAATAATTAATTAATAGCAAGAATTGGACCTTAAAATAAAGTGTGACCCATGATCCTTCAAAATCTGCATTACATACAGAAATATCACATAAGAACAGTGAATATTCAAATTATATATATATATAAATTACACTAATTTTATATATTATGCAATTGTATTTATTTATTAAATTTACTTAACGCCATACTGACAAAAATGACTGAGTTAATTATGACAACAATTTTATGACATTTTTTGCAGGAATATAAATTCCATATCCTGATGGACAAGGGGTGAATTTTCATATGGTTGACTTATTATGGGAGCTTTAGCCCCAGATTGACCCTCAAGACCGGTCATAAACCCCGGGCTACACTTGACACGTGCAAAGAGCGGCAATTCACCTTTTAGCCAGGTCTGTCTCAATTTTCCATTGATGAAATCAGAGAGTGAATAGCAGATGGCTGCGCTCGTGAAAGCAAAGAGAACTCAATCTTTCCATCTCAACCATGAGCTCGCCCGTGTCACATTTGAGTTTGCTTTTGATTGAGACGTTGGCCAGAAGGATACCTTGCAAAGACTACACCATGTCGGTTATAGTAGCGTGTGATTTAATGCCAGTGTGTTCCCACTGTCCTGTGTCTCTATTAGGCCTTTGATGAGTCTGGAGACAGGAAATCGCTTGTTGGTACAGCTGGGAAGCTTTTGCAGGCATCATTCACTTAAATATTTAAGAATCCTTTCTTGGTCTATCATGCAAAGACTGCCCAATGTCTGTCTGTAAGAAGTAGACGAGGTGTGATTTCACATTCTAACCTCTTAAAGGTACAGTACATACAAAAAAAATTTTTTAATTCTGTCATTGTTTACTGACCCTTATGTTGTTCCAAACCTGTATGACTTTATCTTCCGTGGAAAACAAAAGGACATATTTAACAGAAAGTTCATGCTGCTCTTTATCTTTTCATGAAAGTGAATCTATTATGTGTTATGAAAGTGGTTTGCAAAGTTTCATTTAGGTACAAACTAATGGAATAAAAACTTGAAATGCTAAAATACAGTATGAAACCAGATAGGGTCTGGAAGGTATTAGCAATCTTATAACAAAATTCCCAAAAATCAACTGTTTTGAAAGTGTACCTGGCTTCAATGCCGATTTGAACTGATCCAGCAGAAATCTGTTGATGTAAGCCCGGGGGAAGTTGTTCCCTGCTGTATGATATGTTAACCACATTTGGACTCTTTCACGATCTCTCATCCACCGTTTCCAAGCCAACAAAAATGGGTGACTCTGGTTGAGTCAGCTAAGCGTTAATGTGTTTCCTCTACAGACCTATGTTCCAACCATTCCTGTGTATGTATATATAATATTTGTGTAGAGTCCCAGTCTGAGGTTAAAAAAATCACCACAAAATAAACAGTGTTAAATTATCTCCAACAACATTCATTTAAAACTAACTTTAGAAAAGTGACCCAGGTAGTACAAACCAGTGGGGCTCAAACCAGATGAAAGCAGTCTCATAGCATGCTAATAAACAGACTTACACTTTTTACAAGAAAGGTGACCATAAAGTGGACATTGTTCAATCCTATAATGCAGAGCAATAACGAGTGTATAACTGATGTAGACTTAATGGCTAGCTTAGATTACCCATGAGCATCACACTGAATTAATTTATTTCTTTAAGTGGACTATATTAGTGGAGTAATGTAGGAGTAGTGAATGAGTGAGTGATTTCGGACACAGACATCGATATACATTTAAGGACTTGGGAGGTAAGCAACCACAAGAATGAAATTAGCGCTGTGCTAACAACTACTCAGAACAACTAATCAATAACATACATTAGCAATGACCTGATAACCACACAAAACACCTTAGTAAAACCCTAGAAACCACCTGGAACACCATCAACCACTAAAAAAACAACAGAGAATGCAATCACCTAGCCAGCTTCAAAAAACCACACAAAATGCAGTAGCAACCAAATAGCAATGCGCTAACAACCACCAGAATATGTTTTTAATTGCATAAGAATGCACTGAAAACCACCCAGAACGGCCTAGCAACACCCTAGAAACTAGCCAAGGTACCACTAAGAAATACATTAGCATCCATCTAGCAAGGTCCAAGAAACCACACAGAATACAGTAGCAACCAAATAGCAATACGCTAACCACCACCCACTCAAAATGTGTAATTAATCTCATAGCAATGCACTGGCAAGTGGCAACCAGCCAGAACACTCTAGCAACACCCTCAAAACAACCTAGAACACCCTACCAACCAAACAGAAACATGCTGTCAACCAACAAGAACACTTTAGCAATTGCATAGCAATGTCCTCGCAGCCACCCAGAACATGCTTTTGCAAAAGAAAAGATAAAAAACATTGTTAATTGAAATATGTTAACATTTCAAATCTTATTTGGGCTAAAAAGGTATTTTGTCTGAAGTCCACATAGCTAAACCAAGACTTTGTAGACAAAAGCAGGCCCCTGCTGGAAAATCCAGTTTAAGCATCTGTGCCCCAAAAACCAGCATGAACTGGTATGACCAGCCGTTATTTGCTGTTCCAAGTTGATCTACCAGCTTGGACCACCTAGAAATCAGCATGTTCCAAAACACAGCTATCACCCAAAGCTGGATTTTCCAGTAGGACCTTATTTGGCAATTAGACACTGGTGATTTGAACAGAATGGAAATTTATCTGTGAGAGTTACATGTAATATGACAACTCTCAGATGTTCTGAATAAGCCAATACACAACCCAGATGGCTTTAGGGACAGTTGAAAAAGGTTTATTCATCTCCAAAGAAAAGAAAAAAACACTCATAACATGTGGAGTAAAGAAAAAAAAAACTACATTAATGTGTGGTAAGACCATTAGACAGAATTATATCTGATATCCACCACTGAGTGTCCATAAATGCTAAACTCAAAATATCCACTAGAGGGCACCAAACTACTCCCTCCAAGTCTAAAAGTCTAAATTACATCATTGCTAATTAAAAGATTTTCAAAAAGAGGTCTGTCCTGAATGAGAGTAAGAACATATGAAGACAACTTCCTGAGGTCAAGGAATTCACTGATCAGGAGCATTTCTGAACAGATTCTTCACTTCTTTTTCTTAGCAGCGATTCTTTTCGAGCGGCGGAGGCCTCTGACATCACGCTCCAAGGCTTCAGGGGCAGTGGTGGGTTTGGAGGGTTTTGAGGCAGTCTGGGCTTTTAGGGTGGCAGTAAGTTTGGAGGGTTTTGGAGCAGGAGAAGAGGCAGTAAGTTTGGAGGGTTTTGGTGCAGGAGGAGATGCAGGAGGTTTGGAGGGTTTTGGTGCAGGAGGAGATGCAGGAGGTTTGGAGGGTTTTGGGGCAGGAGGAGATGCAGGAGGTTTGGAGGGTTTTGGTGCAGGAGGAGATGCAGGAGGTTTGGAGGGTTTTGGTGCAGGAGGAGATGCAGGAGGTTTGGAGGGTTTTGGTGCAGGAGGAGATGCAGGAGGTTTGGAGGGTTTTGGTGCAGGAGGAGATGCAGGAGGTTTGGAGGGTTTTGGTGCAGGAGGAGATGCAGGAGGTTTGGAGGGTTTTGGTGCAGGAGGAGATGCAGGAGGTTTGGAGGGTTCTGATGCAGGAGGAGCAGCAATAGGTTTGGAGGGTTCTGGCGGCGCAGGAGGAGCAGCAATAGGTTTGGAGGGTTCTGGCGCAGGAGGAGCAGCAATAGGTTTGGAGGGTTTTGGCGCAGGAGGGGCAGCAATAGGTTTGGAAGGTTTTGGCGCAGGAGGAGCAGCAATAGGTTTGGAGGGTTTTGGCGCAGGAGGAGCAGCAATAGGTTTGGAGGGTTTTGGCGCAGGAGGAGCAGCAATAGGTTTGGAGGGTTTTGGCACAGGAGGAGCAGCAATAAGTTTGGAGGGTTCTGGCGCAGGAGGAGCAGCAATAGGTTTGGAGGGTTTTGGCACAGGAGGAGAGGCAGGAGGTTTGGAGGGTTTTGGAGCAGGAGGACAGGCAGGAGGTTTGGGGTCTGAAGGGAGTTTAGGGGCAGTAGAGTGTTTGGTGCCTCTGTGGACTTTTTGCTGTGGTTTAGCTGACTGTGATGCCTCCTACGTAGTCGAAAGCAAATTTCATGGACTAAAAATGTGTAGGTACAGATTAAAGGCCCGTTCACACCATGAACGATAACTATATTAGCTATATTTAAAGTCAGGTGGATTTTGATTGTCTGTCAATGTTTTTATTGTTCATTAGCTGGACGATAACGCTCTATAAGTGTTTCCAATTATAATATTCCTCTGTGTCATAATCGTTATAGCCATGTGGAAAATCTCTCTCAATTAGAATGATTATTAAAACTATAGTTGCCATTATAGTTATCGTCATTGTAATGGGCCTTTATTCAGTTGGAATGTCTGCTTAGTGCTAAAAGTATCAGATCGGAAATAGCAAACAGTAGTCAAAAGTGATCCACTAACCTCTTTACCGGACAGCTGGGATTCCAGAACAGATATTTCTGCTTTCAGAGTATCTATGTTTACCTTCCGACAAAAAAAGGATCATCTTAAGTCCAAAACGTTCAAAAGACACACATTTCAAAAAATATCTGAGGATGTGCTCTTGCTAGCAGTCACCTTGATTTGGTTGATGTTCTCCTTACAGCTGTCAGTGTCCTTCATGAGTCGCTCCTCCTTTTCTCTGAAAACAAAATAAATGTAGATGTATCAAAAATCTAAACACTGCTAATCTGCAGCAACAACTTTAGCATGTTGAGAAGAGATTTAGAACTGATAAATTAGCGATTGAGCTAACGGTTTTCTTCTGGTGGACAATAAAACTGGCAAAAACATCCCATAGATGTACATTGATGTGGGGACACAGAAGACTTGGAGGGAACCACCCAGAACACCCTAGCAACCGCATGGCAACATTTTAGCATCATGCTAGTGAGTTTTGCATGGGTAAGTACCACTAGAAAAGCCATTCTTTCATTGTGTGCATGCTGTCTGGTTAATACCTCAATACTTGTGCTTTTTCCGCCTCTGTCTTGAGTTTGCTGACCTCTGCCTTCTCCTCAGCAGTAGTGCAGTGCACATCAGCAACCTTTAATTTGGCAAGGAGATCTTTAAGATCAAGCCCTTCCAGCTGACTAGAGCTCAGGGACCTCAGAAGTATTTCCATGGAAATTTGCTGTAAACGTTCACATGACGCCACCTCAAACACCAGAGCCACAGATATTGAGATCAGACAGGTGTTTCACAAGCATCACATTGTGAAAATGGTGTGTCTGAAGAAAAAAATGCATTACAAATATGTCATATATCACCTTAGAAAGCTCTGTTTGTATTTTGTCAAGTGCAGCAAGGCCCATGTCCCGCATTTGTTTCATGCTCTTCAGAGACTTCTGCAAGTCGCTTAACTCTTGCTGTAAACCAAATTGTCACGAAAATGTCCTCTTGGTTTAATTTAATTCTCAAGATGAAAAGAAAATCTGAATGACAATGATCAGGAGAGGATGTCACATTGTGTATGTATACTGTGTGCAATATGCAACATTTCAGTGTGCACAGAATACCAGGTGACCTACTATATTTGCAAAACTCTCAATATGCAAATTAATAAGTAATGAAATATTAACAGCGGTTTTAAACAAAATTTGACAAATATTGGAATAAACATATGGTAAATAATCAAGAGATTTTTCTGAGATGATAACTGGACACCACTCGTTACAACTGAAAATGTTTAGCATTGCATAACATGTAGTAGTTTTTAAAATAGCATGCAGTATTTAGTGTATACTATGCAGTATACTAATATTCCATCTAAAAATATGCATTCATTGACCTGCGCCTGTTGAACTCACTTTTTCCATTTGCTTTGATAGACAAACTCCAGGTCTGTGTCTGTCCATTTGTATCCCTGCATTCCCTGGATGAAGATTTCAGGATCGGTATTCCCAGTGGTTGCTGGACAGTCATGAAAGTGAATATTAAAGCAATAAAATTATACTGAACAAGAATCAGTGAGTATATGTGGTGCGGTACCATTACTAACAAATATAAAAACATAGAGAGATGTGTGAATATGATTACTTACGTCAGTGAGCATATGAAATCACCTGATGCTGCTGTAAAACTAGACCTCCTGATGGACTTCCTCTCGTCTTTAACTTTGGGGTGCTGGAGAACTTCATTTGATCCATTGCAAGAAAGGTGTTTGGTTATTTCCTTGGAAAGAAATTTGAACTCATTAAGAAATTTCATAAACTGATTCTTAAAAATGTGAACATTTAAAATAATGCTAATAAATATACATTTTTATAGTTTCATCCTAAGCAAAATTAATAAATTTAAATGTTTGACGTATTTTTTAAAGGGGTCATATTATGCTTTTTTAAAGATCATTATTTTGTGTATTTGGTGTAACAGAATATGTTGACATGCTTTAATGTTCAAAAAACACATTCTTTTTCAAATACTGTACATTATTGTAGGTCCTCTATGCCCCGCCAGGAAAACTTGAAATCGCATCATATGACCCCTTTAATGTCATGAGAGAGAGAATTCTAGGTTTCAGTTAATATTTATTAATGTAAATGTTTAGATAAACTAATAATCAGTTCGACCTATTTTTTTATTTTATTTTTTTTACTGATATTGGCAATTGTCACTAATCAGTTATGTGAATTTAGTGGGTTTCTGAAGAACAATGTATAATTTGATTAATTATTAAACTTTTCTTGTAAGACAAAATTACAACTTTGAATAATGTTAATAATTTTCACTTATAATACTATTATATAACTTTGTTAAATTATTTTATTAATAATATTAAATATAATTTGCATTTTTTTATATTATGTTTTTATTGTTTAGTGTCAGGGTCATTTCATTATGCCATAAAGCAGAAATAAAACAATAATTAGAAATGTGTTGATCATATAAGTTATGTAACAAAATTAATGCAATCCATTTCCAGTATGTTGGAAACACATGGGTGAGGACAAGCCAAAACATTCTCATGATAAAAAAAAAAGAAAGAATTAAGTCTAAAGAAATGTATATATTATCATTAAGCAAAAGACGCCATATAGGCTATTCATTGTTAATGGTACACATTAGTATTTGTTCGTGAGAAACACGAATGACCCATTGATATATTATCGCTGTGTTTGTTTGTTTGTTTACCTGGCCGCATGGCTCATCTGTGACCACTTGTTCTGATGTTGGAGAAGCATCTGGTTCGCTGGGCTGGTGTGTTGCTACTCTTTCACTTTCAGATGGAGGTGTCCTCTCTAACTGTCGCCCGGCAGGTATAATATTAGGATGTTCATCGATTATTGATTGTGTTAGTGAAGGTGCATCATCCGAATCCAAATTACGCACATTTTTGGTGCGCTTAATTCTGCCTTCCTTCGAGCTCATATGAGCTGCCGGTGTTTTTAACACTTAAAATGTACAGCGGAGGATATTTGAAGAACAATGCTACAATCTTGACGCTCTCAAACTGCATTAAATTTTAAAAGTGACCTCAGTGAAGCGAAGTTAACTCTATGTGATGATTCGTGGTAATGGCATTTGGCGGCCACTAGGGGCGATAATAAACAGCAGCACAAGATACTTGTAGCGCTCACTGTTATTGTAAAGTTGTTAAACTCAAGACA